GGCCTAGCTACTCCATGGCATGTGGGATCTTCCCACACCGGGGCACGAACCCGTGTCCGCTGCATCGGCAGATGGACTCTCACCTACTGTGTCACCAGGGAAACCCAGGATTTCATACTTTTTATGGTTGAGTAATATTCCGTTGTGTGTGTGTGTGTGTGTGTGTGTGTGTGTGTGTGTGTATTTTTTTTCTTTATCCATTTATTTGTTGATGGAGACTTCACTTACTTCCATATCTTGGCTATTGTACGTAATGCTGCTATGAACATTGGGGTACATGTATATTTTTGAATTACTGCCTTCATTTTCTTTAGATATATACCCAGATATGGAATTGTTGGATCATACAGTAGTTCTATTTTTAGGATTTGAGGACACTCCATACTGTTCTCCATGGTGGCTGCACCATTTTATAATCCTGCCAACAGTATGCTAGGGTTCCCTTTCCTTCACATACTCACCAACACTTGCTATTTGTAGACATTTTGATGGTAGCCATTTTGACAGGTGTAAGGTGATATCTTATTGTAATTTTGATTTACATTTCTCTGATGATTAGCAATGTTGAGCATTTTTTCATGTGCATGTTGGCCATCTGTGTATCTTCTTTTAAAAATATCTATTCAGGTCTTCTGCACATTTTAATTGGGTTATTTTTTCTGATATTGAGTTATATAAGCTATATATAAATTTTTTATATTAATTCTTTATTGATCATATCATTTGCAAATATTTTCTCCCTTTCAGCAGGTTGCCTTTTGTTTTGTCAATGATTTCTTTGCTGTGCAAAAGCTTTTAAGTTTAGGTCCCATTTATTTTTGCTTTTATTTCTTTTGTCTTAGGAGACAGATCCAAAAAATATTGCTACTATTTATGTCAAAGAGTGTTCTGCCTATGTTCTCTTCTAGGATGTTTATAGTTTTAGATCTTACATTTAGGTCTTTAATCCATTTTGAATTAATTTTTATATATGAGGTGAGGAAAAGTTCTAATCTCATTCTTTTACATGTAGCTATCCAGTTTTCCCAGCACAACTTACTGAAGAGATTGTCTTTTCTCCATTGTATAATCTTGCCTCCTTTGTCACAGATTAATGACCCTAACTGTGTGGGTTTATTTCTGGGTTCTCTATTCTGTTCCATCCATCTATGTGTCTGGTATTAGGATAACCACTCTTGCCTTCCTTTGGTTATTATTTGTATGGAATATTTTTCCCATCCTTCCACTTTCAACTGATATGTTTCTTTAGATCTGATGCGAGTCACTTGTAGACAACATATAGTTGGTCATTTGAAAACATAGCCACCTCTGTCAGTCTTTACAGACTGGCTCTGCAAAGGGAAAGGTCTTCATTAATCAACCTAGCATAAATGCTTATAGTCTTTTCAGGCCTTTCTAAGCATGCCTGCTCCCTGGGCATGTGTGTGTGTTTTTCTCACCCAATATCCCCAGTTGTATGGTCTCCTTTAAATGTCTTATATTCCCTAACAGTCTCATCTCTGCTTCTTCTCTGAGTCTTAAATGCTCTATTGTATTCCTCTGCCCATAATTTCTTGCCCTCAATAGCTCACAGGTTTGTAGGCCCCCTACAGCTCTTAGATGTCATGGTGACTGCCACTGCTTTCAGTGGGCTCCAACCTGATATCCAAACTATGCCACCATTTCCACCATAGCTCCTTATTAGACAAAACAGAAACCAGTCACTTAGGAAGCTGCAGACAAGCCAGAACAATGCAAACAAGTTTGACTCTTTTTTTTTCCATTGCATGGGAGGAACCAGAAATTGGACAGCTTCTTCCTCATGCTTTGCCAGGGAAGAGGCAAGATATGGGTGAGCAAAGATACCCCCAAATTTCCTTCCACAATAAGTGTGACTTTATCTTGGTTAAACATTTGTTTGGCTACTACAAATCTGTAACTGGTTTCTATATTTCCTACAAAGCTATTTCAGTTGGTGTTTTGTTGTTTACTTTGTGTTTCCATGGATGAACAAGGGCCTGGAGCTTCCTAGCCCACCACTTGCTGTTGGTACTTCTAGGCACTAGCGTTAAAAAAAAAAAATCATTAGTGGCCTTCTGTAGTTAATCACTTCCTTTCATTACCTTTAAAAATTCCACATTCTTCAAGTGAAGAGTAAGTACTGACCTCTTTTATTTGGTTAGTAGGCAATGACACAGCAACAGAGATCAAATGACTTATTATCTACCACCAGCAAATTTAGTGACTACAATTTATCAAATCACAATATTTTGAAGGCTTATTTTTCTTGACTCAGCTGTACACAGTATTTTATAGATCTTTATACTTCTAGTGTCTGAAAGTTTCCTTACCTGGGAAACTTTCCCTACCTGCTCAAAAATGACGATGTAGTCATAATGACACATATAGCCAGTTTATCCATGAGTTAAGCCATGATCCAACTGATTATAAAAGTTGACTTCTAAAATTAAAATTGGCTTCACATTCTTCAACACTTAGTGGAGGAAAAACTAGAGATCTTCTGAAGGTAACCTATGTTTCCCTGGATATTTTAGGTCCTTAGAAGAATATAGAGATTTTATCTTTTGAACCATCAATCCTAGCATAAAGGAAGTTGAGATTTATTTAGTTTCCACCCATCAGGAATATTGATCATCCATTATTCCAAGGTGCTACTTTTGTAGGAAATACCCCATGTAACTCCATTTGCTTGGGATTAATTACCTATTCCCTGTCTTCTCAAATATACCATATATTTGGTTTGTTCTAACCCATGTTCACATACTATTTTGTAGATATTTTTCGGTTTTCTGACTCTTTAGTCTCCCTGAATAAATTATATAGTACTTTAATCATTCTTACTCCACATCTAGTTATTCAAGGAGTAACTGCATTTTTTTCTTACATTTTTATCACATATGTCCCTTTTAACTAATATTAGTTAGCCCCTTTCAGGTCTCACCTCCTCATAGATTATCAGTTTCATCTTATGTAGGAACTGCTTGCTTGTGTCACCATTCCACTTAAAAACTCCACATTTCCTATTGATAGTGGTCACACTCCTTCATGGCCCACCTTAGTCTAGCCTCATACTACATTTCCACATTTATTTTCCCCTAATCCACATTATGTTTCCTGTGACAGCACTTGTCTTCAGACCTTAAAGTATGCTGTTCTTTTTTCCTTGAATGCTCACTCCAGTCATTCTCCTTACCAAATGTATTCATTTATACATTTCATTCATGTAGAATATATTTAATTATTGTTTCCTCATTTCCAAATCCTATCTCTTCCATTAATCCTTCCCCAAATACTTTAGTTCCCAATGTGTTTTGACAATTTTTGTCCTACACAGTAGTCATTTTTTTTACCTTCTTCATTTGTCACATTGAACATGATTTCATGACATATTTACTTATCATTTTCTGTCTGTATCCTATGTTCCCAGCTAGACTGTATTTTCTTGAGGCCAGGAAACAAACGCTAAGCTTTTTTATTGCTAGAGTGCTCTCAGCACAGTGTTGATATTTAATTATGTATCTGAATAGTTATTATTCTCCTTGATCATAAGAGAAACGATGGGCAGTGATGACTTTTACTCAGTAAGCGTTGGTAAAGTAAATAAAATCAAGGACTGATTTCCAGAAACCACACACATAAAACATTGCTCACACTCATGTATTAAAACATTTAACTCGGGCTTCCCTGGTGGTGCAGTGGTTGAGAGTCCGCCTGCCGATGCAGGGGACACGGGTTCGTGCCCCGGTCCGGAAGATCCCACATGCCGCGGAGCGACTGGGCCCGTGAGCCATGGCCGCCGAGCCTGCGCTCCGCAACGGGAGAGGCCACAACAGGGAGAGAGTAGCACAAAAAAAAAATTTAACTCAAATTTAAGGGCAAAGTCAATGACATTCTCTAGGTGCTCCTCTGATGCCTGCTGACTATTTTTCAGGATTTGCCAAGAAGCCTTTGAATTTTAAAAGTTTCTTGGCTAGTCTGAAGAATACTTTCAACCCATTAAATCACAGAATGCATAAACCCAGAGAGTTACGCAATGTTACCAATAAGTGCACACAGTGGTGTGCTCAACTTAGGACCTGGCTCAGAGGACGCATTCCATAAATAGTTGTGACAATGTCAATAGTTGCCTTTCTCAGTGTTTACGCCAATTAAGGGAGCAGGGTAGTTGAAATAGTGGTTTAATGATTAGTGTTGAAAATCACTCTACAGCTTTTATCGTGGCTCCTCCATCCGTAGATCATTCTCAGCCTGAGTGGTATTTTCATCATGGGGTGGTGGTGAGCAGTGATTTGAGCAAAACCATCTCTAAATAACATTTTGGACTGTTTCTTCTTCCACAACTTCTCAATCTCTTCTCTTTGGGACTTTGTACCTAAGCTGACACAAAGCATAGGTGTCCATGTCTCCCAATATGTTATCACATTGCTAAGAAATTCACACGTTTTACCAGAAGTCTTCTGGAGACATACTATAACTTGCAAACTTGTAGAGATCATTCAAAAGGGAGGAGTTTCAAGAACTCAAATGAATATTTGTTTTTTCATTTCCTCACTCCTCAAGCTATAGCTGAAAGACTACAGCCCACTCTTTCTTAGTAATGGGACAGAGACCTTCTTTTTTACAGTATATATAAAAAATGAATGAATAAAATATTGAAATGAATAAAATATTTTGAAATTAATGGACCTCTCTCTCTCTCTCTCTCTCTCTCTCTCTCTCTCTCTCTCTCTCTCTATATATATATATATATATATATATATATATTTATTCAGTTTCTCTCTGAGAACACGTTAAGTTTCTTAAGTTTAGCCCAGGGCTAAACATGGCCCAGAAAATTCTAACACATGACTTTCTCATTTTAGATTCAGTTTGAAAGTGAATAAAAACACATGGGAAAACACACAAAAAAAACAATTCCTGGACTTAAAGATATCCCAGAGTTTTCTTTACATATCACCTAGCTACTTTTACCTCCAATTTCTAAAAATGAACACAAAGCATTTTTAATCAGTTTTCAAGAAGATGAGCTAATCTTTTATAAGCATGCATTCAAAGAAGGAAAGCATTCTTCAGATGTCAAGATTAAATGTGTTTATTTCGAGTTAGTGGATACAATGGTATATTAGATACCAGCACTCCAAGCTACACCTATGTATTTGCCTCTAAATCTTCACACACTGTCAGTTTCCATTCCTCTAACATTCCATCACTGGGCCTCCTATTTCTAGCAAAATCATAGTTCAAATTTTTAAAAAAGTAAAAGCAAGATGATCACCACATTGTGCTTCCAGTGCCCCCAGAAGGATTATAATTGTTTTAAATAAATGTTTATGTTTTCAGTAAAGGGGGAAATTGATAACATGAGCACTAGTAATGGCACGACTAGGAGAGAAAGAACAGAATACAGATTAAAAGAAACATTTTCGGCTGGACGAGTTAGTTTCCCCTTAGTAAAAACTCCACATAATATCATCGATATGATGTCAACGTTAAATTGCTCAATTTGTGGGCCACACACTTAAGCGTATTGGCTAGTACACTTTTGCACTGAAACAGAAGCAATACAAGCTTTATGTTCTACCATTACACTTCCAGATTTTTCGCTTATTAATATACCTGCCAACTTAATGATTCTTGCATGCATTAGAGTTTGCTTTTGTAGAGTTAAGTTTATTTTCCCCATCCCTCCCACTCCCATAAACATTGCAATGTGAACTCTTTGCCCAATTTTACTAGAATGTTGCAAAGGACAGCTCTGTGCCACCTTGGGACAGGAACTCCCTGTCCCCTCCCTGGGCTACAGATGGATCAGCAGTATTGATCACATCTCATCTTACATGCAAACAGACACTGCTCCCTTAGTTCCCCATGCCAGAGGCATATGAGTCAGCAGGTATACATACAAAAATGGAATTAAAAAGAAAAGAATAGAAAAGGAAAAGAAAGAAAAAGCTTTCTTGTTAAAGCCTATCGTCCTAGAAGGAATCCATTGCTTTGAATTCACTTAAAGCCTGTACAGGCGAAATGTGTTTCTTCTGAGAACCTCGTCTAACTCGTGTCTGGAATTCTTCAGGCTTTTCTCTCTTCACAAGGGGCTTCTTCTCTGGAGCCTTCATCTTCCAAGACACAACAGGTGAGTTGACAGCTGCTGTCCCATAGACCTTCTGATATTTTGTTGAGGCCACATAAGATGCTTTCACCGTGAGGACAACAGCATTCATCAGATTTTTAGCTGCCTGGATGAGCGATGTGGCACTGTCCAGCTGGAGTGGAAGAAGAATGAAATATACTTGGGTTAGCCAAGGCACAACATTCAGAAGATGGAGGTGCAATTTCTCAGTTAAAACAATGTTGTGTTTATGCAAGTATACAGTATTGCCAAAAAAGGAGCAGATTGTTACATGATAAGGAGAAAAGGTTACAAAGCAGTCACCTGTCTTCTAGCCCTAATCCCAAAATAAAAAGAAAAAATAGAGGATACTCGACGATACACAGTTTTCTAAAATCCCAGTACCTCGAAAGACAAAACCCTCCTTTTGGCATGTAAGAATTCCAACATAACAAAAGTTTTCCAAAGTGGAACATCTCATGTTATTGCATTAGGCTGATTGGTAATAATGACAATTATTTGAAAAGCATTTGGCAGGCACTAAAGAATAAAACGTTATAAGGGGTTTTATGGCTCTCCCAGTGGAAGTATCTATTTGTAGACTATTTCTCCATCTTGAGCTCAGGATTGGTAGGGATGCAGGCAGCCAAGCAGAGGAATACGTCCATGGGTGCGCTGACTTTTTACTTAGGTGTTTATTGTGCTGCGGTACCTGGCTATTCCCAGGTCTTAAATATACCTCATATAAAATATCAACAGTTGTGTCAGGCTTGCATAGGTCAAAGAACATTCAATGAGACCCCCTTATCCATGCGCTAATGAAATATTGATTTCTTACGATGTGCCAAATGCTATTTTAAGCACTTTGTTTCCCCACTTAACTCTCACAACGACCCTGTGACGGAGGTATCACTGTCATTGCCATTATATGGTGAGAGATCTGGTGCATGCAGAGGTCCAGCAATTTTCACGGGTTTATACAGCTTAAGTGATGGGGTCCTTAAAGACTGTAGTACTGTGCCATACTGCCACCCTATTGGGTAGAATGGCTTTAAAATTGCTAAGACCAGTCACAACTTAGAGCAGAGTAGATGTAGGAGTTCATCTCCAGACTCTAAGACCAGGTATTTTTCAAGTTACCTCTTTTCTGCTTTTAACCAGCTAGGCAGTGTGTTATAGACTGTATACTAGACCTTTCGATAACTGTTTCAAACTCCTGGACCACAAAAGCTGGAAAAGTTCAAAACTGCATTTCTCAGACCCCCTTTCAGCCAGGATTCTACATGTCACCTAGTGAAAGGAAAGAATTAACAGCTGGACTGCAAATATTACTCCAGCCTCAGGGATGCCTGAATGTAGTCTGTTCATTAAACCTGTAATAGCAACTAAGGAAATGTATCCATTGCAGTTAAATGAGGGATCCAAGAATGTTCCTAAGTAATGTGCTCCTAGTTGCTGAGATTGTTCATTGTATAACTTGTAATCAGTGTAGCTATATTAGAGAATAGGAACTAGGCGTACAACCTTCTGGGTATGAAGTAATTAACAGTGTTATGCCCAGTGACCCCAAACACAGTGACTCCACTATGTGATGTGACCTGATTTCACTTAACTTGTCATTTCTTGTGACCAAAGCAAGTCCCAAGCAGTGACTGGGGACATCAGAAGTTATATCTAAAGCTAGGGGCAGGACAGGAATAAAGACGCAGACATAGAGAATGGACTTGAGAACACGGGGAGGGGGAAGGGTAAGCTGGGACAAAATGAGAGAGTGGCATGGACATATATACACTACCAAATATAAAATAGATAGCTAGTGGGAAGCAGCTGCATAACACAGGGAGATCAGCTCAGTTCTTTGTGACCACCTAGAGGGGTGGGATAGGGAGGATGGGAGGGAGACACAAGAGAGAGGAGATATGGGGATATATGTATATGTATAGTTGATTCACTTGTTATAAAGCAGAAACTAACACCATTGTAAAGCAATTCTACTCCAAAACAGATGTTAAAAAAAGAAGTTATATCTAAAGACTCTATTATGTTGTTCTGGCTGTTATCTGTTCCACATCCTTTATTAAAGCTAAATAAACATTATTCTGAGTTTAAAAATTCTATGAGAAGTGAACTCAATTCTTCTACCATAAAAAAGCTCATAAAATCAGATTATTTGAGAAAACAATGGAAGAAGCTTTCTACGTATGAATTTCTTGCAATACCATAAAACTGAGGCTTCACCACACACACACACATGATTAAAAGCCAGTATTACATTGACGCCACAATAATATAGAGAAGCTGAGATTTGTGGATTAGAGCCACGACTCAATGAATATATAATTGATTGCTTTGCAAATTAAATCAACCAATTGGATAGAATAACTAGTTATGTTACCAATTCTATTACACTGTATAAGGTGTCCATATACCAAAATAACTGTTTAACCCATAATGTTTACTTTTACAGCATAAGTTTCTAAAGTTAGCTAAGGAAAAGCAAATTCTAGATTATTCATGTTAATAGAAGGGAAAACAGGCACAGATTGGTCCAGTGATTCTCTAAGTACAATCTCTGAACCAGCATCATCTGGGAACCTGTTAGAAATGCACTCTCTCAGGCCAATCCCCACATTTCTGAATCAAAAAAAACTGGCAATCCAGGGGATTCTGATTCATGCCAAAGGTTAAGAACCACTGGATTAATGACACCCAAAGACTCTCTCAAGGCTTATTTCAACCAATGATTTCAGGACTTCCACCATCAACAAGTTTGGTAACATCACAGCTAATTATCCAACTGAATCTCACTTTTTCATCTTTCCAATTATACTCCCAGGCAGAAGTACAAATAATGAAGAAAACAGATAAGATAGCAAAATGCTGGGATGATTAGATCAGTCATAGTTTCTTTAGGAGCTAGATACCATACCCCTTGGCCAATCAACAGTTCCCTGTAAAAGTCTATAATGTTTCAGAAAAGAGTAAAATTCGGTCATAAAGTTAGTTACTTTTGTTGTGTGCTATGGGTAAAGAGAGAGTAGAATGATATTATATCAGGGACAGTTCTGTTGATTTGCTTTGGGGTAACAGAATTAGCAGAAGTAGATTAGGGCAAGATATGTCTATTGTATTTTAAATTGTCCCCCGAAAAGCAAATCTTGGGAGAATTGAGTTGGGAGAATTGAGTGGATCCAAAAAGAAGAATTACAAATAATTTGGAGATTTTTACCACAGATTCCACTTTCAGATAGATGGTGTCTAATTCTGCTGCAAAAATATGATAGCCTGTTTCTTCTTCAGAACCCCTTTGCTCTCCCAGCCTGACACAGGAATCCTATGAATAAACCTAACACATTAGTTGACAGTGAGACAGCTCTAAATTATAAAGTCAATGATTTTGTTCAAGCCACCTGGTGGGGCAGGTACTGAATTCATGGCAAGGCAAAGCGAGGAGGTGAGGGCCAGGTAAGCCTGAACAAATATACTCCAAGGCAATAAGGCCAATCTAAAATTAATACAAAATTTGACTTCTTCTTAAAACTTGAATTCCCCAGGGATAAATTTTACCATTTGCCCTATACCCACTGTAATGATTTATATCATTTTCAGCACAATCATAATTTGTTTTATTTAAAAATGGGTCTCCTTTATACTTGTCCAAAATAGCACTGAGACCTGGTTTCCAAGTGGCACATCTTGCTAAAAATTCACTTCCTAAAGAAAATACATTAAAAAGAGTAAAGCTACACGGAAAGAAGATTTTTAAATGGAAGGTTTAAGAAAACTTATTTCACATAATTGTGTTCTATTTTGTGGTGTATACTGTAACTAGGGCATTTTCAAACAAGACGTGTTAATGAAATTCTAATAATATTAATACCCAACATTAGTTGAGCACTTACTAGGTGCTTGGCATTGCCTTAGTTCCTTTAATTAATTTGCATGACTCAAGTTTCAAAAATCCTTGTAGTAGAAACTGTTAGCCCCATTTTAAAGATGAGAAAAGGAAAGCTTAGAGAGGTAGGATAACTTGTCCCTGTAGTAACTGGCAAAGTAGGAATTAAGACCTGTACTCTCTCTCTCCAAAGCCCAACATCTGAACCACTACATTGCATTACTTCTCTGAAGCATCATTTAAGCTCTGGGGTCTTGTTTTTCAGTGACTATCATTCGAAATGAACTGATCTCAATTATTAACTCTGTCTGGGCATCCTATAAACATCATGACTAAGTCTAGTGAGAGCGTCCATCTCACCTGGTCTGTGATTTTTAGTCTCATCCTCAGAGCCTGAATTCTTTCTAACTAAATCTCCTGGCTTGGGATGTGCTACTGCCCAGCAATCCTTCCTGGCCTTTTGACTGGTCTCCTGGCTTGGATGCACCTTGACGGCAGCAGTTCCTGGGATCTGATCCCTGCAGATTTTTCTTGTACTTGCTCTGTTTCTATGAAGTACATTCAATATACAGCTGTAATGACGGCTGTATATTGTTGTACCCTCAGGTGGGGCTCAGCTACTCTGGTTAGTGTCCCAAGCCTTTATCTGGGCTGGTCTTGCTAGCTTAAATAAGTCTCAAATGTGGGCTGTCGCCAGCCATTCCTCAAGCTGGCTTGTATATACACTGACTAGACTTATCCACAGAAAGAGACTTGTATCTTTTCCTGCTCAAGGGCCTTTCTATTCCTATGAGGCAGCCCATTAAATTCTTATATCAAGTCTAAAAGAAGTGGCTACTTAATTAAAAAAAATAATAATAATAGCTTACATTTAGCAAATGTTACCATGAGCCAGTCTCTGGACTAACTTCTCAAGTTTCCTTTCTCTCATTCAATCTCACATCCACCCCTCAGACAGGGAATACTATTATGCTCAGCTAAGTGGGAAAGCCAAGATTTAAACTCAGGAAGCCTAACTCCAGAGCCCATGCTCTAACCATTGCTCTATGATGCTTCTCAGTGTCGAGCATGGCAGACGAATCCATAGTCCCCAAATTTATCAAGCTGTACTAGATTAATTCTCTCTATTCTATTCCATAGGTGTCTGCTGTCCCTAACCACGGAAATTAGGCTTCTCCTAATTCTGTCACTATTCTTTTTAAAATATCAAAGTACTATTTTAAAAAGGCAACAGATGTTTCCTCACATCTTGTTCTATT